CCCCTGCTCCAAGGGACCCACATGCCACTTTACACCGACCCCAGGACTTCTTACAGACCTATTTTCGACACCCACCCTCTGCTGTGCGCATGCTCTCCAAGGCTGAAGTAGGGAGGAACGGAACTTTTACGAAGTCGCCGGCGATGTTGCTCTGTGATAAAGGAGTGAATGAATGTGGAAAAATATCTATTTTTGCACTTGAAGACAGAGTTAGCTCATCAGAGGACTTCAAGAAAAGCTGATCTTGATAAGACTAGATGCCTCAGATGAATCTGGGGGCCTCTCATGGTCCACCCATGGCTCCATGAGCAAGTGAACCGAACCCAAATAGGTTAGAAAAATGTTTCCTTGTTTGCACATTAGGAACATTCTGCTAATTATTACTTATGTTAGGGTTAATTTTTTTCTCTTTTTGGTTTAAATATGTGTTAGTATTTCTAATCCTGCCCTTGGTGCTTCTCCTCACTGCTGTTACCTTCATGAGCTGAGTCTGTTACTTTTTTCCCTTGAACCAGTTACTCTCTGGGGAAAGTCTTTGCAGGATAACCTTAGGTTGCCTATTTCGAAGATGAATACTTTTATTTTTCTTTTGAGAATGGTATCTAATTTCCATTTATTCAGGGAAAAGGGAAAGGTCCGTCCGCCCAAGGCAGTCTTTAAAATAAGATGATGAGGGCACTAGAGGTTGGGCACGGTGATTAGGCACACTTGCTCCTTTTCCAGAGGACCGAAGCTCAGATCTCAGCACCCATGTTTGGTCATTCAAAACCTCCTGTAACTCCAGTTCTAGCAGCTCTGACATCCTCTTCATGTGGGCATACGGTACCATGCCCACATGTGTGTGCTTGCGTGCATGTGCGTACACACACACACACACACACACACACACACACACACACACCAACCAAAAATTTAAAAATCTTAAAAGCCTTAAAATGACTTGTATATTTAAAAATAAAATAAGTAACTTTACAAAATTAAATTCACCTTTTGTAAATTCAAACCCAGAGTTTTCCGCATTCATCTATGTGACGTTGGCTCATGTCTTGCTTATATCTGGGAGCCAAATAAAAGCTTCCTGTATAGTAAGGGCATAAAATAAAACAAAACACTATGACATTTTAGGAAGCCAAATAAAGTCTTGAACAAATAACGTCACAAAGCTGGAATGGAGATCTAACTAGACGGGGTCAGATATCTCCTCATTCAGAACCCGTTCACTTCTCTCCCATGTTCATGTGAATTAACAGATATTTTGAGCTGAAAGGAACACAGGAGTTTAGGAAATGGATGTGGAAATGCTTTGCGAACACATCTTGATTTACCTCGGGGACTACACGTGTATTCCAGCGCTATGCTCCCTAAGGGCGATGAGGCCCCTCTGCGGCACATGTGGGTACTGGGTAGTTGGCAGGCAAATTTATGTGGAGTTAAGGTTGTTTCATCTGAGCGTTCCCTTTCGAGCTCTGACTACTTAGATCAAAATTGACCAGTAATAGTTTATTTTGTTCTGTGAGTTACACACGGGCTCTAGTGCCCGGTCCTCCTAAATGCTGTGTTGATACATGTGGAACTTGAGGTTTAGAGAGCACATGAATCAGCTCAGGCTGCTGGACAACATCCAGCATAGCAGGCCTGGTAAGATAAGACCCTGGCCAGCTCTACACGACAGACATTTTGTTTTCAGGGCTCTGGGGACTTCAAAGTCTAAGATCAAGGTGTTGACTTGATACTGTGGATCCCTTCCTGCCTTAAGATGGCTGCCTTCTTGCTGTGTCCTCAATGGAAAGAGACCTCTCTGATGTGCGTTCTCTCAAGGACACGGTCTCTTAGATCAGGGTTTCTTCCCACTGACCTCAGCTGACCCTGATTACCTCTTTATCCAGTGGTCGTCTACACTGGAGGTTAGGGTTTCAACATGTGCACACGTGGGATACACTTTAGTCTGTATTCTGAAACCATCAGACCAGGATTTGAAACTAGGGGTCTGGCGTTGGAGCAGTAGGGTCAATATACTTGCTATTTTTGTGGATGGTTAGCAGGTTGGCCACAGTTTCTTGAAGAACTTCCTGCCTTTCTGTCTGCGTTCTGGACTTAGTACATCTCTTTACCTGCCTCTACCAAATCTTCCGTGTCCCTCAGGGTTCACTTCATTCATCCTAAAGATGGATCTCTACAGAAAAGCAAAATGCTCCAGGTTAAGAGGATTACTTGCCTTTCAACAATGAAAAGTTAGTTTTTGAAGCACATGGCAGGCAGTCTTTTAAAGAGATCTGTAATCACACTCACATCATCCTTAAGAACATGATAGCCCCTATGGAATGGCTTCCTTCCTTCCTTCCTTCCCTCCCTCCCTCCCTCCCTCCCTCCTTCCTTCCTTCTTTCCTTCCTTCCTTCCTTCCTTCCTTAGGTTGTTTTTTCTTCCCCAATGCTTCAGAAAATTACTGCTTAATTAATTTTTAAAATATAACTAACTCCTTTTTTACTTTTATTGACAGACATTTCTTTCACAATTTTTGCATAGAAGACATAAAACACAAACTTAAAGTTAAAAGATGTCTTTTGATTTCCAGAAATGAGAGGAAACGGTGCATTAATGTACAGTCTTAAATGTCTCTAACTATGACCCATGTGTAGTATTTAGGGCTTAAAGGAATGACCTAAAAAAATATGACAGGCCCCTTCAGAGATAGAGTGAGAAAAGAACTTGGACTGTGTTCATTTTGTTCCATGGACAGTGCAGCACACCTGAGACCTGCGTGGTGGGCAGCTCGACCAGATTCATCCTCGGCATCCCCTCCTCAGTGATGTAGAGGCTGAAGGGAGATGGCAAGCAGGCACTTACCATTCTCTGAAAGTAAATCCTAGAGGGAAAAAAAGAAAAAGCACAGGACTTCTGAAATCTACACAGTAGAGAGAAGGCTACATTGCCTTTGAAAGATTAGTACTTCAATACATTGTATCACAACTGACACTTCTGATTGGGATGTTAGTTAAAATATGTAATAAGTGACTTGAGACAGGCCTTAAGAATCAGAACAGAGAGCAGAGCTATAGAAATTGGCCAGTTCATAAATATGTAATTAGTGGGTGTGACCGGACTGGTGTGTCAGGGAGCAGATCTGCCTTTGACTGATATTTCATGGAGTATAAAATTAAGTGTACTTATTAAAAGATTCAGCTTGATAAATGCATTCCACAACTTATATAGTGAAAAGTACTTTCAGATTTCTCCAGTTAATCATTAAGATCTACAGTCTACAATCTAATATTTTATAACACCGAATTCATACAATTTTAGTTTTCATCTATAAAACTTGGCTAGATTTGATGTTTTGAAATATTAACACATTTACTTAACTGTAAAGTTTCTAGGGGACAAGGATGAATGTTATCCATTAATTGTGTTACATGCTTCATAGCCTCTCTAATATCCCTTTCTAACATGCACACATGTGGGCATGCACACACACACACACACATGCACACACACAGGTGCACACGCATGTACACACACATGCACACACTCAGGCACACACATGCACACACACATGCACACACTCCGCACACACATGCACACACATGGGCACACACAAACACACACACATACGTACTTGCACATACATTTATAATAATGCACTTTCAGAGCTGTGCATGCCTTACATGAATACTTCTATGATTCATTTGTGTTTAACTACAAAAGTCACTGCCTCTCCCTTTTGAATTACACTTCCCTGTCCCCTGAAAGGGTGTGTGTTTGTGTATTCTGACCTGGATTTTATGTTTTGGTGGATACCATTTCGCTTCTATCTTAATCCAGTTCCAACAGAAAGGAGTCATACGACGGTAGAGCTTCCCCATTCTCTGATTTGGCTCCCTCTTCTAATTAATTCTGAAGACTTTAGAATTCACATTTGGCAAGTTTTGCGTAAGCTGAATTCACCTCAACTTCCAGCGCACACATTCCCTTCTAGCGTCAATCCTGGTGGTGACCTTCTGAATGACTTTTAGATGCATGCTTGACCTCTGTGCTAGTTAAAACTTCTTCTTCTTTTTACTTTTGTTTTGATTCTACCTTCTGTCCTGCTCTGCCTCTCTATGAAACCTCTTCTCTTCAAATGACTTTAATAATAAAAAAATAAAAAAGAGCCACTGTTTTCAGGTACCCTGTGATGGCACACTAGAACAGCTAGGCCATCCTGTGCTATCTTAGTCTGCCTATTTCTTTCTTACCTACCCCATTCTTTCCCCCTAACGCTTCAGCTATGTCCAGTCCTGGACATGACCAACATTCTAAGCTACACGTACTGCCCTTCCCTCCCCATTATGCCCTGTAAAGCTGATTGGTAATTTCAGGAAGGACAGAGCAGCACGGAGGTAAGAAGGCAGGTGCCAACGCCACAGCTGAGGTGAATGAATGCCTTTTTGAGGAACTTTAGCCAGCTAGGATGCCCTTCAAGGGAGGAGCACTACACCGACTCTCCGGAGAGCAACATGACCAGCACCTGTGATGCTCAGCGCCCTCAGAGCCGAGGGTTGGTGCTGTCCTCAATGCACACTGAGGCACTAATGTTAAATAAGGGCATGGTGGGAAACAGATGACAGAACTTGAGTAAGACCCTTTTTCCTTTAAAAACTAGAAAATTCTGTTTGAAAACAGGTAGCCATAGAGTATCAAATTCTAAGTGTTCTGGCTGTTTGAGGGAGGAAAAAAAAGCAAAGTGATTAAGTGATTCTTTCTTTCTTTCTTTTCTTTTCTTTTCTTTTTTCTTTTTTTTTGTAGAAAAGGAGCAATAGGTTCTCCCAAGAGCCCTGGGGAGTGGGAGCCCTTCTAGATAGGGTTTGTGTAACTGTACCTCCAACCACAACAGTCACGTGGGTCCGTTCTGCTTGGCTGCTTTTTGACTGCCTGTCAGAGGGTGCCTTTCACTTCCCCTCCAGCAAGGCCACTGCAGCATGTGCTGGCGGGATTAATCTTTGTCCACAATGTCTTTGCAAAGGCTTCTACAGCAGCAGAACAGCAATGGCAACTTGGAGTATCCTGCTGATCCCGCTTATAGCGCCTACGCCACACTCACGGGCCCGCTCACGATGGAGGACAGCAGAAGGATCCAGATGCTGGCAGACACTGTGGCTACTTTGCCTCGGGGACGAAAACAGGTAGGATTGCACTTCTGTCTAGAATGTTCATGTTTGTCTGATAACAGCCAGAAGTGGTACTTGCTCCTGCGTGTCTCCATGAATTCCCTGACTCCCAGCCTCACTTCCCATCCTTAAGAGTGAGTTGGTTCATATCCAAAAGAGAATTCTTCCCCCTCCTAAGGTCAACCTCTCTACCAAGTCAATCCACTCAGGACTTGGGAGTTATTGACTGTATGTGCGGGGAAGAAGGTGACATGCGCAAAAGAGACAATGTAGCACTCCGGAGATGGGGAAACAGTCTTAAGTTTTTTAAAAGTAAGACTTAAATATTTCTTTTTAAGTATGTACTCAAGTAAAATGAAGTTGTTGAGCACAACAAGCTTGAAGATGGTTTACAGGGATGCAAGCAGCAGCATCGGAATTTTCCCCGTTGTGTCTCCATCGATTCTCCCACTCCTGGTCTCACTTCCAGGCCTAGGTAGTCCTACTAGTTCCCAGTCAAGAGATGATGCATCCTGGAACACAAGGGTTGTGAACTAAATTAATTCTTCAGCTCCTGAGCACTGACACAACCCAGAGCTGTTGGGAAGAAAGACTTTCGTGGGGAGGTAAACATTGACTAAACACCCAGTTTGACTGCTTAGCGGCTGTGGCCTCTTGAGCAAGGTGCCCGCCGCCCTCACATTATGTCCCTTACAAAAAGAGGCTATTGCACTAAATTCCATTCATTTGATTAGGCAATGGCAGAAACACCATCCTTGAACTTTGCACTCCTTAAGTAAGGAAATGTGTGGGGCACTCGGAGCTTGGTAGAGGCTGTTTGGAGATTTTTATTGCATAAACTTTCTTTAGACATGGGCACTCACTTGGGAAAATCTATGTCTACAAGAATTTGTTCTGAATTTTTGGCCTTTAATTAACCACATATTTCTTTGTATATTTTGATCATATTGATTGTTCCAAAGTATATATTTGAATTTTCATACAGCCATTGTACACAAGATGTTTAGAATTGGCTGATAGACTGAGAGTATAGCTTTGTGGTCTGCATTCTTGTATGCATCGTGTTCTTCTCTAGATGCTTTTAACTTCAGTACTGCAGAGTCTCAGCTTGGGGGAGAGGCAGCTTCTTCTTTCAGTGATATGGTGAACTGATTCCTGGGCATTTTCCACAGCGATGAAGATGATGGCATCATTTGCCAAGACTTGATTATCACTTTCAATCCAAGGTGCTTTCATGATTTAAAGTTTCATGAACATTTGTATCAATTTATAAATGGGCAACACAGCAAACACCAACATCTTTACTCAGGTTTTAGATAAAGTATGATCCATTTCTGTTTCGATTTGCCATGAAGCTGTTAAACTAAATTCTGTTCATTTGTTTAATCTATGATTTGTTCTCTGGGTACATTACTTAGCAGGAAAGCAACCTGCTAATTTTACATCAAGGGATGGATCTTTCCACATCTCCTTTTCAGCTCAATCATTAAATCATGCTGGACCCCTGCAAGGCGAAAACCATCAAACTATCTAGATCAGCCACAAGGGCCTATTTCCTTCCTAGAGAAGGGTTACAGTTTAGGGACAGAACAAACAGGTGTTACACAACAGATATGTAACATAACTCTGAAAACCATCCTGCAGTCTGGTACCCCTAAACAAGGGACTCCCTAAGGTGGAGGCACAAACTCTTGTGCCTTGGGGTCAATTTTACACAGTCACAGTGCTTAGTGTGTCAGGAAGATCTAGTGTGCCTGGAGAGGAGAGATAGACTTGTGGTAAATTTCCTTGAGAAAGCAGTCCAGTTGGCTGTTGCTGTCCACGATGGTTCTAAAATCCCCACCCAAGCAAAGCAAAGACTGCAGATGCTGGAATCCCTGATGTAAAATGGCAGCCCATTTGCATGTAAGCTGCTAGGATCGGGTCTCATACCTAAGACATGATCACTGGCTATATGAATAGTTATCACATTGTATCATTTGGAGAATTACAGAAAAGAAACGTAAATGTTCAGTTCAGATGTCATGTTTTGTTTCTATGGAATCTTGTTGCCTTCAGCTGGTTGAATGGATGGATGGATGCAGAAATCTAACTATAATCCGACCAGTCTCCAGAGCCACTGAGTAGGTTTGAGATGTTGTGAAATTTAGGAACTTCATTCTAGACAAGTGGCAGGTTGGTGGGCGGGCTTTTACAGTAGTTGGAGAACGAGGAAATGAAGCAGTGAAGAGGTAAAGACCTGGTGGTGAATGGCACTGAAGGCCAATGAGGCACATCTGGCTTTTAAGCCTGAGTAAGGATTCCATGAATTGGAAACGGACAACCAATAGGATTCGGTGATTATTGGAGGGAATGGTAAGAGGGATGTAGACATATAAAATGTGTGAGCATGCAGACTTCTTAGACCATTAACTTATTATGTGTTCTCTATTTTTTTGCTTTCTCTTATACTCTTTAACACACTGTGTGATATACTTCCCCTATTCTTAAGACTTTTTCTGGCCTAGTGGTGGTAGTGATCTCTGAGCCAAGGCCAACTTGTTCGATAGAGTGAGTTCCAGTACATCCATGGCTACACAGAGAAACCCCATCTCAGAATTTTTTTTAAAAAAATAACAAAACCCTTTTTCTAAACCAAACCTTTGGAGCATGACACTCATGGTTCTATGTAATCACTGTCAGTGAAACTTCATGCAGGTGTACAACTTGTTCGATAGAGTGAGTTCCAGTACATCCATGGCTACACAGAGAAACCCCATCTCAGAATTTTTTTTAAAAAAATAACAAAACCCTTTTTCTAAACCAAACCTTTGGAGCATGACACTCATGGTTCTATGTAATCACTGTCAGTGAAACTTCATGCAGGTGTATGTCAAGATTTTATGATTTTCCACAGGCACATTTGCTTCTTATTAATTGTTTTCTTAGAAACGCAAACAATAACAGCAACAACAAAAGCCACCCCTCTGGCACTGTCTGCATGGTCTGCAGCAGGATTCCCGTGAGGCAATAGCAGCCACAGCAGCCGCAGCAGGTGTTCCTCTGTCTGCTGTTATTTTCAACACTTTGAGGGCTGACGTCAACATTCGTACTTCTTGTTATTGTGGCTTTGGTTTCTGCAAAGCTATATCTGGCTAGCTTCTAGCTTCGCCTTAATCTTAACCCAGAATCCACTGGGTGTTTGCACTCCTAATTGTTTAAAAATAGATTTCTGTGTGTGTCTATTATTTCAGTACCTGCATTGGTCGGCGAGTGCCAGACACAGCAGTAACACTTCTAATTCTGAACATAGGTTTTTGGGGCGAAGCCCCTGCAATAGAAAACCCTGAGGGAGGTTGATGGAAGAGAAGGGAAATCTTGTAAGCATGCCATGTTCCAGGGGTAGAGACAGTGCCTGCCTGACATTCTCACAAGGCTGCAATGAAGGTGGCTCTCGCCTCGTGTGGCAGTGAGAAGCAGGAAGCTGGCACACAGGTATGCAGTTTAATTATGGATTAGACCCAAACTGATTGCCATTGTCTAGTTTCCTTTGAGTGATGAAATTATTGCTAAATTGGAAGGTTCTAGAAAGTTGGTTTCACGCACAATTTCAGGTTAGGGATGGTGCTAAATGCTTGTAATGGGTGTAGTTCTTGGTTGGGGTCTGCCCACAAGGATGTTCTTTGGAATTTTGCCAGTATCTCATTAGGCAAAATCAATTCTGCAGTGTTAGGCTGGGTCAAATACCCAACCATTCTTCTTTTGCAAAAGGTGTGGGGCTGTAATCAGACCTTCCTGGAAGCGGGAATGTGCTATTTATCTCACATAGAGGTATTATAAGTTAGGGCATTGACTTCAGTTTCATTATTCTGGTGTGTTTTTACATAGTTTGATTTTTTTTCTGTCATAATTGTTTGATTTTCAAAAGATGGGGGAGAACTGTATTCATGGAACAGTTGGGAATAAAAGTGAGATAGGCAGAGAATTGGAAAGAATCATAATTCAAAACAAAGTATTAAAAAAAAAGAAGAAGCTCACCTCTGAATCCAGACCTTCCCCTAACTACACCCACAACTCTCACAGGAAATGAGTTCATAGAGCCAGGACAAGAACACAGATCTGCCTCAGCAGCCAAAGTGCTTCTGTGTTGGTCTCTGAGCTGCTTTGAGGAGGCTTCACCATCAAGCCGTGTTTCCGACTTCCTCTCTGCTTTGCCCGCCGACAGCTGCTGTGTTTGGTCTTGATTTTTCCACTAAAGAGAGACCTGCGAATCGCTATTTAGCAGGAGACACTCGGTGTGGAATATTAATGCCTTGCCTTTTAAGTCATCTCCCCGAAAGCAGAGGAACGTCCCTGCGATCAGCCCCAGACATCACTAGACTCCTGGCTAGTAAGACGCTAAGGAGCCTGGTTTACTGTAGTCAGAGCCGAATGTGCCGCTTTCAAGTCTGCCAAATTGCTAAACCTAGACTTCTCATATTAGATAATGTGTAATAAAAGACAGCTGTTGCCAGCATATGCTGTGAATTGCACACCAGTTCTCCATTCATGATTTCTTTCTTGTGTGTGTGCCATCACGACAACGCAGGAAGACTCTGGCTAGGAGGACAGTCTGTCTGCGCAACACCCACTCCAAGGCCACATCTTCAGATAGGGCTGATGCGTGCCAGGGAGACGGACACAGAAAAAACTTGATTCAGAAGATCCTTGAGAAGGCCTGAAAACACACTCCAAGTAACAGGCAGTTTAGCAGGGGAGCAAGGCAGAAGCCTGCGAGTAGTTTCTTTTTATGTCACCCCTTTGCACAGCTCAGATCAAAACCAAGAAGACTTTGTGTGATTGGCCACCGTCAGAGTTTCACGGTAGCTAATGCATTTAAATTGCTTTGTATTTATATACTCAGTGTTTAAAATCTCCTCCAGTCCAGAATGGAAACTAATTTATAATCTGGTTTTGTCTGGACGTTTTGTGTCACTGGTAACCCAAACATATCAGTCACAGGAGTTTTACTCAATTACTGTTTAGCCAGCAAGCTACACATAACTGTTACAAGGAGAGAGGTAAGCAACTCCTCGCCTGTATGTAGAAGTATGATCTATTTTAGATTTTGGATTTGAGTCTATCCATAATAACCTGTCACTGAAAAGGCATGTTGAAGAAATCCTGAGGCTCACACCAATTCTATGTCTATGGAGCTAGGAAAGGTGCACTGAACACTGTGCTAGTCAGATGTTTTATTAATTCTTGCCAACTGGTTAGTTCTTGAGGACTGATTAATTGTTAACATTAGTTTATTTAGCATTAGGTGTTAAGATACCGCTATTTTACCTTGTTTTCTCTTAGCCCTCTTTCTATACTACTTGATGGTTTTAAAATCCTTCTATATGTTTGAGACTTTCGGGGACCAGCCTTGACAAAAATATCTTTTGCCAGGGTAGGGGTGTAGGAATCAGAAAAAGAAGTAAAGAGTATGAAGATACAAGTAAATTAATAAAACAGGATAGTACTGGGAGGGAGTGTCAGTGAAGACTGAAATCACCCGTGTTTAATTTTCCACATTTTTATCTCTTGAAAATCATCTTTAATTTTTTTCTCATGAAGCTTTAATTTAATGAAGGACAAAGTTAAAGAGGATCTTAGCGCATCTGACTGAACTTGAATATTTTACTTGGGATCTCTCACCATCCTTCAGTTGCAGATGGCGTCTGAGGTTTCGTTCTGTCTGTCTGTTTTACTATTTTTAAAGTCACAATCTACTTGAGGCCTCTGTGAAGCACTGAGGTGAGACGTAAAGCCAGTTTATCTCCCCAGAGCCCCAAAGCACACAGATGATTAGCCGAAGAACTAAAGCCTTCAATCAGATACGCTCTTCGTCTAGATGGGTACATACAGTCTCATTATAAACCTCCGTGTGGACGGTAATGGGAGATGGCAAACCATAATAGTAAGAGCACCGTTTTAAAAACACAAAGCCCTCCATTGGGATTATAGTTAACAAAATTAAATACAAACTGAACTGAGTATTTGACAATCTGGATGAAGGGTGATTCCAAGGAGATGGCGATATTGAAAATAGATCAAGAAAATATGAACACAACATAAGGGTGAGATGCTTGTGAACATCACCTTCTTTTTTTTTTTTTTAGCTCCAATTCACAGGGATGCGGCTTTCTGATGTAACCAAAAAGTTCCTAAACCTGTTAATCTTTCCATGCCTCCCCCCGCCCCAAGTGTGTGTGTGTGTGTGTGTGTGTGTACATTAAGTATTAAGGCAGAAAATCAGATTATGACAAACCATTCAAATTGCTGAAGGTATCCTATACCTAGTCCTTATAAATCAAGATTAGAAACTTATTACAAGCCTAGAGGGTAATTTGGGGCCTGAGCCTTCCTGTTTGAGACGCCAGGTACAACTGACAAAAGGGGACAATGCAGTTGTTACACAGAAAGCCTGTGTGGTAACATCATCTTTCCATTACATGGAGTGACTGGTGGCTGAATTTCGAACAGTGAGGCCTTCCAGAAAATTTGTGAAATTGTTGGCATTTGGTACCAGACAATTTGAATTTCTGGTAATGTGGGCATCTATGGAATTGGTGCTGTGTACATTAATTTCTCCTATGTATTTTCTATGTATGGTTTTTATCCTCACATTATTTTTAGTTATCTCTATCACCCTCTTTGATCTCCCATTTTGTTTGTTTATGAATGACAGTTACATACATTATGTTGGCAGTTAAATGTCATGGCCGATCAGCGGGAGTGATGACTCAGCATGAAGAGCACTTGCTGCTCTGGTAGGGGACCTGGATTTAATTTCTGGTGTTCTCATAGAGGTTCCTGGCAGGCAGTGTTCAATTCCAGCTCCAAGGATCTTGTGGCTTTTGACCTGCACAGACACTGGTCATGCACACCGTGTACATACATACGTTTAGGCAAAATATTCATATATATAAAATAAAAATAAAATATTTTTTAAAATATCATGGCTTAATTAGGGGAATAATGTTACATTTTAAGCCCTTAGAGCAATATTTTAAGAAAGGACTAATTAATAATTAACATCTACAAAATGTTTCTTAAACAGATGAAACCAAAACTAAAACTGGTCACAGTCCCTTAAGACGAAGGTCTTTCCTGTTGCTGGCATTCTCTTTCTATAAGAGTTTGGGTCTGTCCCAGAGCTTTATTGTTTATACGATTTTTCCAAAAATGAGCAGAGGAGTGAATGTGTTGTTATTTATTGCATTATGAGGTTTCTTCACTTTTTTTTTTTTGGCAGAAAATCTCACTAAACTTCCTAAACTATTGTAAAAATAAATCATAATCAGAATTGAGGTTTGGAGTCCCTGCTTCAGTTTTTTCCCTAAATCTATTTTTTAGTTTCTAATTATTTGTGTGTGGGTGGTGGTGTTAGTGTCTCTCTCTTTCTCTCTCTCCCTCCCCCTCTGTATGTGTGTGTGCGCGCATGCGTGTAATGCTATGCATGAGGAAGTCAGAAGACAAATGCAGGAGTTGGTCCTCCCTTCCCACTGATTAAACCTGTGTGGCAAGGCTTGTGATCATCTTTACCCACTGAGCCATCTTGCCAGTGTCTTGAATCATATTTCTGTATGTGAGCTCATTCTTTACAGATTATCTTAACTTGGTAAAAAAGAGTAACATGTTGAACTGTTACAGTAAATATAAGCATTTCATCTGCAGCTGTAGAAAATATGGACTATGGTTTTCATGCCATCCTCTGGGTAGGAGTTTCAGTATGGCTGTAAACTGCTATAGCTCTTTTGAGAGGTTGACATAATCATGGGTTAGACATAAAGCAATCCTTGGAAGCTAGACATTCTGCTACAAGGAGCAAGCATTCTCCTCAACCCAATATCTTACTGTCTGGGTTTCTCTTCATCTTTTGAAGAGAATGTCTGGGAGTCCCTCTTCTCCCAGACCCTCCTTTGCTGTTGTGAGAGAATGGGCATCACTAATCTTAACTAATAAAGTTTCCAGGATGATGATGAACAAAGTCCTTTGTAACCCAGAACAGTTGCAGACACATCTTAAAGACCTTGAGATAACTCTGTGCTCTTTGTATTTTTCAGCTTGCTTTGGCCAGATCAAGTTCTCTAGGTGAAGTTTCCTGGTCTCAAAGGTAAAGATATTCCTTTTCCTTTCCCCTTCCTTCCTTCCTTCCTTCCTTCCTTCCTTCCTTCCTTCCTTTTTCTTTTTTATTAAGTCTCTGTCAGAGATGTTTATGGATGTAAGTGCTCCAATATGTACATGTGCACACGCGCACACATACACACATACACAAGTGCGTGCACACGCACGCATACACACCTGCACACACGCATGATAGTATTGCACCACTAACCCATACTAGAATTACAGAAATGAAAACTAGTTTTTCATTGTAACAGTAATTGTTAATGCTAAATATATTCGAAATATGATGCTTTGTTATTTATGTGGTTTAATTTTTTTTTTTTCCTACAGAAAGCTCGTCACTGTGGAAAAGCAGGACAATGGAGCGTTTGGATTTGAAATACAGGTGGGCAGTTTGTAAACAGTCTAGATTTTCAAGGGAGAAGCGGACACTAATTACACCATAATATTTGGAAGGAGCAATGTGGTTAGGACAGGCTTAGCAAGACGATGGGGACTGGATTTTATTTAGTGTGTGGCTGATTTTCAGTATGTTAAATACTACCAGGGGGAGAAAACACTGAAGCTTCTGTTTCCCTAGAGATGCACTTCCTCCTTGTGCTGAGCCACTGCAGTCTTTTTTTTTTTTTTTTGGTTTTTCGAGACAGGGTTTCTCTGTGGTTTTGGAGCCTGTCCTGGAACTAGCTCTTGTAGACCAGGCTGGTCTCGAACTCACAGAGATCCGCCTGCCTCTGCCTCCCGAGTGCTGGGATTAAAGGCGTGCGCCACCACCGCCCGGCTTCCACTGCAGTCTTAATGATAGGTCAGACACAGATGCTTGACACTTCAGGACTTTAAGAGGAAAGCAAAAGACGTTTTACAGAAGTGTATTTTCATATAATCATATTCTTGTACTGTATATCTATCAGATTCTAAATACTTGAGCTGGGCATGGTGGTTCATGGCTTTAATCCAAGCACTTGAAAGGCAGAGGGTGGAAGGGAGTTTAAGGCTAGCCAGGACTCCATTGTGAAACCCTGTGTCAAAAAAAAAAAAACAAAAACAAAAAACAAAAAACAAAAAAAAAGGACAAGTTAAGAGGAATACTTGTGAGACAGTATATTTGTATATATAAATCCAGATATCTCTTAACAGAGACCCAACATTCCTTATTGGGTACAATAAGAAATTTGTAACCCTTTCCCCACCATAATAAGATAATAACTCTACTACTTGAAAACCACGGGTAGAAATTTTTACCCTTCTTCATGGGTTTCAGTGTGGCTGTCCAAGATTTTTTTTTTTTTATGTGTTGCCTGTCTTTTCTTGATTATGTTTGTGAAGATGGCGAACGGAGGCAGTCACGTGGGCTGTCATCTAATCGAGAGCAGTAGTAACAACTCAAGTCTCAAGTTTTCGCATCATTTCTGCATTTCTTTTCAATGTGCTTTGCATAATCGTGTTCTTATGCTCTACGTCAGATTTTAGACCTTTGTTCCACCGACTGCTGCTCTTGGAAAACCTTGGTGTGATATCAACCCCATAAAGGAAGCCTAGTGTATATTTTAGGAGCTGGAGCAGGAAACTGCTGCCTTAAACATGCTCTCTGAGTAAAGAAACAACATAGAATGATCAAGGAAGTCGTGGGAAAAAAAGGCTTCTGCTTTTGGAGATCCCTACTTTACAGTTTACCATAAAATTATGGAGACATAATTTTCTACAAAAATGGGGGAAATCCATGAGATTTTAAAAGTATGGTCCCCTCACGGGAGCCATTTGCCTTTCTTTGAAGAGATGCTGCATGCCCATCAAGGGCCTCTTCAAGGTTGCCTCGTGGTAGCAACTGGAAGCAGGGTGACCGATTGCCTGCCTGTCTTGTTTTCCCACTTGTGGGTCACATCGCTGCATCCTTCCTTGTCTCTCTCACCAGAGTGTGTGTAGAATCATGTACATCATCATTACTAGACAACGGGCCGCAGAGACGTGAAAGTTTAGGAGCTCAAGGAGACCTGATGGTTCTAGCCCAAAGCTACAACACATGAGTGTTATCTCAGAAGTCAACAATTTGCAGCGGTGCTCTTGACAATTGCTTTCCAAGTCAAAGACAGCATGAGGATAGGAGATGTGGGTGTGATATGGGGGGATATGTGACCATGTAATAAAAACTCAGAGACAGATATTGGGGTTCGCCATGAAGGTCAGAAAAACAAAGCAGCCATCCACTGGGTATTTACCTTGACCTCAGTCCGAAAATGGTAATCCTGCCTCCAGAAAAACCTCCGAATGAGACCGAGAATGAGAGCTGTCTCTTCCTGTTTTATAATCCTCTCTAATTCTGGAATTAAGGGTGTGCACTACTTCCTGGTTTCTATGGCAAGCTAGTGTGGCTACTGGGATTAAAGCTGTGTGTCTTTGTGGCCACTGGATTTAAAGATGTGTGTCGTTGCTGACGGATCTGTAAGACTGACCAGTGTGGCTGTTTGACTTTTTTTATCTTCAGGCAAGCTTTACTTACTAAAAACACAGATGAAATGCCACTATGAAGTGTTCTTTTCTGAGCCTACATGGATTTTGGGTTTGCCTTTCTATTGCTAATCCCCAAATTGACAACTACACTCTGTTCACCTTGACACCTGGGAATGGAGGGCGGATCTCCCTGTTGGTGGGGAGTATAAGAACAGTGACTTCCAAAAGGTGTATCAGTTAGTTCACTCTTTGGCTCTTGCAATCTTTGGCTCTTGAAGCACATGAACTAGTTCGGCTCCTCTTTCTGATCTGTGGTGTGGTCTAGGGCAGGAAACTCTCAAAAGGTTTCTGATTCAGGTGGGACCTGTGTAGAAGCTGCTCTGCTTTTCAAATAGAGGATTCTATTTTTTTTTTTTTGAGACAGGGTTTCCCTGTGGTTTTGGAGCCTGTCCTGGAACTAGCTCTTGTAGACCAGGCTGGTCTCGAACTCACAGAGATCCGCCTGCCTCTGCCTCCCAAGTGCTGGGATTAAAGGCGTGCGCCACCACCACCACCGCCCTGCGAAATAGAGGATTCTAAATACATTATAGTTGAGCAAACATCTTGTAGTGTTTAGCAGAACCAAGTGGCTCTCTCTCAAAGTGACATGATTGCAACTGATTATGGCGTCTCAGCCATAGATTTCTCTAGAAGGAAACAACACTCTAATGTGGCTAAATATTTAGTAATCAGATCTTTAACAGACAACCCAAAACACTGATTTTGGTTCTAGATGGAACACCATCCCATAACCCAAATTACTAAATAGAAAAGCATGCTTATTTGGAGTTATAGGAGTCCTATATGTATCAAATGTCTCCTTAGTGTTTTATACATTTTGACATGAAAACTAAAAACATTGACAATAAAACCCAGTACCACTGAACTTTTGGTGTCAAACAGAGATACTTGGGGAAGCATGTCTCCTTTTGTTTAGTTGGATGACTGAGGAACTGGTGAGAATTCTGGGCAGGAGGGGTCTTGTCCGCTCAGAAATGAAATTGATCTAGTCAATTAGACCACTTAAAACAAACACAGGACAGTTAGCGGTTATGTGCAGAACTCCGATTTAATATAAGCACTGCTGGTTTTATTACGTTGGATATTTGAAATATCCACAGTCTCCCCGCTGGATATTTTGTATCTCATACTCTTCCCCAACGCCTGCTTTCGCCTGCAAGACCCACAAGGAGCTTTTCCTTTGCATATGGCTACCACTGTTTCATCCCATGGAGAATAAGAAGTTTAATTTCTTCCTTAGTAAATACACAGTGATAGCATCGGGTGGTCTCGGGATTTGAATACAGACCATTTAGAGCCACTTGCATCCCACTCTCTTTTTCATGCCAGATGTTCTTTATGAATGGAATTGACTGCCAATTATCTGCTGGAATTACAAAATTGGTACCTTCCGTTCAGTGTACAGTGAGGAAAGCTTTCCCAAGTTGTCCTCTGCACTTACCTATTGTGCCACTTAATGCTGTTGGCACTAGTTGATGTTTTGACAAATATTTGTTGACGTCTTTGAGAAGTTACTATGTACCCACTTCAATTTTATAGACCTACAGGCTCCAGAACCAAAACATCTGTTCCTCGGAAGTGTGCACCATGATCTACAAAGTACAGGAAGACAGCCCCGCTCACTGCGCTGGCCTGCAAACTGGTAACTTAGCTCTGCCCATGCTTGAAGCTATTGAAATAGCAAGAAACTCTTTGAGAGTGAAGGTTGGGGATAAGTGGTTGCTTGGAATTTTCTTGAGCGACACTGGAGGTGGAACTTGCTTGTTTGTCTTCATTTCCACGTCAGGAGGCTTTGCTTAAGTAACTAATAAAATACTCTTTTTCCTTGGCATCTCCCAGGTGACATCCTTGCAAATATCAATGGTGTGAGCACAGAAGGCTTTACTCACAAACAAGTGGTTGACCTGATCCGATCATCAGGAAATCTGCTAACGTAAATATCCACTTAGTTGCTGTGGGGTTTCAAAGACGTCTTGGTGTCTAAGAATATCTGGTTGCGGGGGGGGTTGCTGTAAGTGAATCGACTATTTGTGGGTCACCGAAAACAAGGCAGCATACACAGCTTTGGGATGGGCACAGACATTTTTATGGGGTTCTTTTGTTTCTCAGGGTTTCACATGAGTCATGAACGTATCGTCAACATCTGAAGTCAGGAAATGCCACTAGACAAAGGTGTTTTGTAGAAGGAACATCATTTGCTTATGTATTTTTAATATCTGATTCAATAAAACTGGCACACATTTCTTTGGACCAAAAGAAACTGGTCCTGCTTCCATGGTTCCTGTAATCTTTCAGCTATACCATTTTTCTCTCTTTCATATTCTTAAGCCTCTTGTTTTTCCTCTGTTACTTTTCCATAAAGATTAGTGAAAAAAATTCCTCAAAGTTCCCCACCTTGGAATATACATAGTAACATGTACTCATGTTCAACTGATCAGAATGATATTGGTCTTCCCAGCTGCTCAATGGGCTTAATCTTTGAGGCTGATTTTAAAAACCTCGAGGAGATATATCTACAGGGATAGTCATTGCATCCACAACGTCACATAGACAACACTGGGCTTGCTTTTGTTTGTTCCAAAAACCCAGTAAGATATTAATAAACAGTTATAACTGAATTTATTGTTGCATTAAAATCATATATACTGAGAAAATATTAAGTTTTTATCTCTGTGTATGTTCTAAAGATGCAAAAATAAAGACCACTGAACTCTAAAAATTATAGAAGATTTCTAATAAAAACTTGAAGTGTTTTAGTTGCAGTTATTGGTAACCAATATAAGGAAGGAGAATAATGCAACAGGGGAGTAAGAAAGTGGCCAGCTGAGATTTGTCGTTCAAAGTGCTCCACTCTGGCGATGTATGATTGGAGCTGAGACTAAATAGAGGGAAGAAATGGCCATCTGAACTCCTGGTAGGAACACTGGGGTAAAGAAAGATGTCTTTGAGCCCTGGAAAAGGATTTCGCATAGCCTTAGGACAAAGTGAATTTGGCGGCTAGTGGATTAGAGAGAAAGCATGAGCAATGAAGTCAGAGTTGGCCACACATCAGATCTCGAGAAGCATTGCTGTGCCAGGGAGTTTACATTTTATTCTGAGTTAGGTGGTTTCAGCGTTACCTAATTCTTTTTGTTCCATAGCCTCGTTGTCAGCCTGGCTTTATTCCTTTATGTGCAGTGAGGGCCCGAGGTAAAGAGAGATTAGTTGAGTTCAGCTGACTAGTGAGTGACAATGGGATCTAACCCATTTAACATCTAACATCTAACATGGATGTCAGCATTTGCTCTTTCCAGTTACAGCTGTTCATGGTGAGCTGCCAGTAGAATGTACTAGATTCTTCATGGATACTTCGAAGAAAATTTTGGGTGGGTGTGTTGGGGCAGTTTCATGACTGATGAGGACAGAGTGGAGCCCTGCACTCTGAACTCTCGTTCTCAAGGGCAAAAGTTAGGGAAGCTCTGGCCTCAAAGAAACCTAGAACCAGATAGATAAAATGCTATTGGTTGGTTGAGTCAGAAAAATATGTACCATATAGATGAAGCAAGAAGACACAGATAAATAAGGTTAGAGACGGTTCTCAGAAATAGATGATTGGTAAATTATGAGATCATGTGAACAAATACTGAAGAAAGGGCGCATCTCTACAGCTGTGCGCATCCCTTACTTAGACAGGCTTGAGCAACACTGAGAGTCTTATGAAGCTTTATAGTGATTCTGTTGCCCACCAGACAGAGACTGTCTCGATTAAAAATCAGACCGAATTTAGACTACCATCTTATCGTGTTGGGTGTGATGCGGGAAGAATAGGTGGTTCACATATAGTGCTCTTACCACATTTTACATTTTTCTCACACTTTTATGAACATAATTATAATGTACTAGTCAAGAGGAATTAGAACAAATACTTTCAAATTCTTAAGGGTGTGATTCAAAGGTGAAATTAGCTATCATACTCAGATGGGGAATTTGTAGTCAAAACAACAATCAAAACAAACCAGCTCCAGAGAGAACAAACCTCCTATTTTTTAGAATATCTTTGATGTAGGAAGAGAAGAGCATTGTTAAACTGATAATTCTAACATGGCCTTTGTAAACTAAAGGGTTTGAGATGAAATAGAAATACGAGGTTGCAGACACAAAATTACCCTGCTTCAATGTCCTGAATAACATGTTTTGTTGACATACTATCTGGCTCATAGTAGAATTCCAGTGAATATTCACCAAATGGCTGATATTATTCAGTTTGTCCAGGCAAGATCAATTCTAGCGGAGGGCAACCACCATAGCAATTAGTGCCTTCTTGAAAATGAGCTAGGGTTTGCAAATTAACAACACCTTTCTCTCTACGTTTTGTCAGACAGCTTTTAATCCCGCTTTCTTTCTCCCAATGTTATTGGGAAACTTGGCTTAGGTTCATATACTCAAGTGTCAACACTCTGTAGCTGAACGCCTTGGGAAAGGTGGCATTTATGTGGAATTTCTGGTATAGTCCGTTCTTCACATGTGGTGCTTCACAGGGACGGCACCTCTTTGAAGGCATAGCTCTGCGATTTACCCCCACCTCTGCCTTCTCTTCAAACAGGATAGAGACTCTTAACGGAACAATGATTCACAGGAGAGCAGAGCTCGAAGCAAAGCTGCAGGCGTTAAAGGTAATTTGATTGAAGAGAGCACATCATTTTTCGTCCTTGAATGTATGAGGAGTAGAATAATGATCTGTCTGAGGAACTGAGATAGCCCTTGAAGGGGAAATGGCAGGACACATCTAAACTGCTGACTTGTCAAGGGCCACGCAATTTACTCTCTCAGGAATAGCTAAGACTGTGAATATGTGTAAATCACCCTCTTCCTTCCTCACTCAGAGTCTAGGAGGCTCAGGGAGCCAGCGGGAAGGCATCTTACCTGAAGAACTATTCACGTTTGCACCTGTGACACTCTTGATTTACATTTTGTTGAAGGGGGAAAAAAGAGTGGGGGTGTGCACCGGGTGCTGCAGAGTGCTGGCAGGCCCAGCACGTCGCGTTCCCAGGGTCCTTTGCCTCTTTTCCTTCTGCACCAGCCTAAAAATGGAGTATCTGCCACCAACCCGGTGGCTGTCCTTAAATTCGCCTCCATTGATGAACACACTATTACCTTGAAGGGAAGGAAAAAGGTCACAGTGACAGTGTCTAATGCAGGATGTTCAGTGCATGGCTCTTTGAAGGTTTTCAAAATCTCAGTTCTCTAGGCTGGTGATTGGTGAGTCTTCCAAGTCAGGAATTCCAGACTCTGAAAAAGTAAGTCAAAGATGTTCCTGACTCCTCCCAGGTCCCAGTTGATGATCTCATCCTAGTGCTACTCCTGTAGGACAGTGGAGCAATCAGCCTATGCAGAGATAGCTTGGCTACAAGCAAGCTACTTATTGTACTTTGTAAAAACCTGCATTCATTAGTTTTTCCCATGAAGTACACTCATTGACTATTGATTTCACTATTTATACTTTATCTAGTCTCTTTGCCTTCTGCCATGACCACTCACTAGCAAGCCTAATTAATCCTGGGTTTGCCACTCTTCTAGTAGTGTCCATCCCCATGAATTTTAAAATCAATTAAAAAATCATTGATGAATCCTCTCTGCTCAGATATGGAAAGGAATTAAATTTTAATCATACAATACATTAAAACATTAGAAATCTTTGTGGCTTTAATTTTTCAAATTTTGAATGTTTTCCCATTTTTGCCTTATACTTCATATACTCCAGGATAATTACCTTCATGCATTTTTAAATGCATTCTAGCAAAAAAGATAACCCTTTGTCTTTTAAGTTCCATATCTTTAGTTCATTTATTTAATTAATTTACTTTTCTTCTCATATAGCATTGGCTAGGATCTTCAGTATACTGTAAATTGTTGTTTATTCTTCATTTTAATGAACTGCTTCTAAAATTTTTATTGCATTTATATGAGAGGTAATAAGAACTTTATACTATCTTTAGGCTTATAAAAACTTCCAAAGTTTAATTTTTTTTGTAAACAGCAAATAATCTGGGTGAATTTCTTCTTCCAGATGTCCTCAAACTTTTATTTTGAAAAAGGGTAATGAAAAATAGACTAGTTATTTTATGTTTTATTAAATGAAATATTACATTTCTATACATGAAATGAAAGTACTTACTTAAAAAACATTATTTCATCGTTTTCAGTGATTTCTACTCTTTGAACATAATTTTAACACAATTTCTGGAATTTTAGTGTGCATAATTAGCTAGTTTTAACTATCAATGTGCAAGCCTTTCAAAACCTCTGTTCTTTTCTAGAATAGAAGTAGGTCCTCAAATTTACTTTGAATATCTATTTAAGAATCCACCTTCCTCATATTTACTTTAGGGTATTTTATCAATTAAAAGCTACATAATATGAAATTTTATTATGAATAGCTTGGAGTGAAAACATACACGGATATGTCTCGTTGGTGTGCTCACATTCTTCATTTTACTCTTTTCCGTGGTGTTTGTCAGTCTCTCATGTTACTTTATTAAATGATGACTACTAGATCTTTCTAGAAATGTTCTTACATTTCTCTGCTACTCTTGAAGAACTGATTTCTTCAAGGTAATTAAGAGTGTCCTAGGTTAATGAGCTCTAAATTTTGTTTTCTTAGTTCTTTAAAAACCTTTGATATATTTGTCCTAAATATTAATCAGTTGTCAGTCATCTACATTAAATTTTTTTTTAAAAATTAGTTTTTTTGCTTTTTCATATTGAGTTCTTTAATTCATCCAGAAATAATCTTTGCATGTGTTATAAAGTATGGTATAATTGAACTTTTTCCCATATGCACAGGCAGTTCTCCCAATAAAATTTACTTTATATTCTGCTTTTCTCAAGTGAAACTTATATTTTAAAATAATTTTTATGTAAGTCCCTACTTACTTAAACGTTTTCTATTGTAATATGCCGGTTAATTTGTTTGTTTATTTATTTATTTATTTATTTAATTTTCGAAACAGGGTTTCTCCATAGCTTTTTTGGTTCCTGTCCTGGAACTAGCTCTTCTAGACCAGGCTGGCCTCAAACTCACAGAGATCCGCCTGCCTCTGCCTCCCGAGTGCTGGGATTAAAGGCCAGCGCCACCACCACCTGGCTAATTTGTTTTTTATATCCAACTCAGTGTAGACAAATTTTTTCTGTCCCAACAGTCAGCTTTGTCCTATCAGCTGGCTCCCCAAATAACTACACAGAGATGTACTATTAATAATAAATGCTTGGTCTATAGCTTAGTCTTGTTGCTAATGAGATCTTATAACTTGAATTAACCCATATTTCTTCTCTATAGTCTACTATGTGGCAGCACCTTTGTTTTTTTTTTTTTTTTTTTTTTTTTAGCATGGCATATTTATCTGTCTAACTGATGATCACCCCACCCCCCCCACACCAACGCTGTCCTTCTCAGTATCCTTTCCTTTTGGGTCTCCCACCTACTTCTTACTTCTTTCTGCCTAGCTATTGCTTAGTCAGCTCTTTTATGAAAAACAAACAAACAAAACAATCAAAGGTACCTTGGCAAAGATATTTCTTCACAGAAATACTTTATTCCACAGAAGTTTATTCCATAACAACTCAATTTGCAATCAGTTTTGATAGCTAATTGGGCAGTGTTCTTATTCTGTTGGTCATCTGTCAAATCATCAGGTTCCATGAATAAATGCCAGAGGTTTGATTAACATTTCATGTTATATAGATAAGTCAATGGCAAGAACATTAAATATTACAAGGTATTTCATATTCTTATTTGTAGGTTATTGTTTTAGGTTTCTATTGCTGTGAAGGGATACCATGATCACAACAACTCTTATAAAGGAAAATATTTAATTGGGGTGACTTACAGTTTTAGGGGTTTAGTCCATTATCATTATGGTGGGTCATGGTGGCATGCAGGCAGACATGGCGCTGGAAAAGGAGCTGAGAGTTCTACATCTTGAGCCACAGGCTCAAAAAGTGCCTGTGTCCACAATGGGAGTGCTCTGAGCATAGGAACCCTCAAAGTCTGCTCTCACAGTGACACACTTGACCCAACAAGGCCACACCTGCTCTAATAGCGTCAGTTCCTAAAGACTTCTATCTGTCTGTCTATCATCCCAGTCACTGTTTTCCCTCCCTCCTCTCCTCCCATTTCCACCCTACCTTCCATACCACAGTTGTCTTAGCAATTTAATATTTTTCTTTGCATCTTTCAAAAAATCTGATCATTGTATACATATAGGTCATATAGTCATTTGTTATATCATCTTTTGTACGTTATGACTTTATTATGGTTTTTTTGTAAAGGCAAATTTTTATAGTTAGATATAGGTATACGTCAATCATTTTATGCTGTTGTTAATAACCAGACACTTTATTGAACCATATATACAGTCTCCCCTAAATTGTTTGTGTGCTATTGTTGTGGGCTATAAGGGTAGTAGCTGTAAAAAATGGATCTGGTTCCTTTCCTTCTCTGCTGTGCTGTCTCAGCTAAGTTTGCTTCAGATGAGGAAAATAGTCAGAGGTATTGTTATTTTGTCCTTTAAGGTGATTCTTGAAGCTATTTCACTTTAGGTATGAGTTCTTTTGATGAATACATTTCAGGTTAAAGAGGCACCCATCTAAACCCTATTTTTACTGGGTTTTATGATGGTTATGTATTAAATTTTATTCAGTACATTTCTATGCATCTGGTAAGAATGTCTTTTCAAAGATTTATTAAAAATATCTATCAATATGGTGAGTGGTACTAAGTATTTTTCAAGTGTAAAAGTACCCTTTAATTTTGAACATAAATCCAGCATGGTCACCTTGAGATTTGCAATCATTTTGCATTCTTTTAGACTTACGTTGCTATTATTGGTGAATTTTGAAAATCACCCTGATTGACCTATATTTTTATTTCTCAGACTCCTTCTTAGGTTTCAGTGTTAAACTTACTAAGTATATGACGTGAGCTGGGTTGTTCCTCTTTTGTTCTCTGGTAGAATTTTTATAATGCCATCTGCATCATTAGGACTTGGGGTTCTTTCTGGGGGGAACACTTTCAAACCACAGTTTCAATTTCTTTATTAGTAGTAAAACTACTCAGATGTTCTTTTTGGAAAAGCTTTAGTCGGTTCTATTTTGGTCAATAAAGTTTTCTAATATGTGTTTTCTAATAAAGTTTTCAAACATATGGCAAAACCTGATACAACTTTTTTTCTTAACATGTAAACATCTCCTATAGATGTGATTTCTGTCCTAATTATTCATGCATTCAATTTTCATGCTTCCTTTTTTCCCTCTTAGTAATTTTTTTCTAGAGTACTTTCTAATTATATCATCTCCTTTCCTGCTCTCTCTCTCTCTCTCTCTCTCTCTCTCTCTGTCTCTCTCTCTCTCTCTGTGCCTGTGTTTATGTGTGTGTGTCTCTCTTTGTGTGCATGTGTGTCTGTGTGTTTTTTTTTCCCTCACTCTCCTGGCTACTTTTTGCTCTAACGTAATTAGGTCCAGACTCATACATACCTCAATTCATACTGTTTAAAATTGGCACTGATCTTTATGTCTACAAGACACGTGACACCAGCTCTGGCCAAACCATTTTATTGGATGCATTGTCTTTTTTGCTCCTCACATTACCTTGTGGGATTCTGTTAGAAATGCCTTAGGGTCTTTTGATTTGTCTGCCTTAATAATGACATCAGCAGCATCCTTGTTATTTGCTTTCCATACAGAATGTGTTCCTTCTAATTAGCTTTTTAATGTGATTCCTACTTTATTGACAAAAATATCCCCTTTTTATATCTATCTGTTTTTATTTCTCTCACCTTTTTATGCTTAGGAACACTGGTTTTATTTTTTCATTTTTTTTTAAATAAGAATTTATAAATTCTTACTTGGTGTCTGTTTTGAATACCGCCTGTATTTTTTTGTTACTTGGAGAAAATCCATGTCTTTAGTGTTTGGTCAAAAGCATCACCCCAGCTCCCTAACGTCCCTTTATATAAAGAGTCTGGAATATTATAGTCAGGGGCCTCATTCTGGCCCCTGGCATCCACCTTTGGAATATTAGGCCGAAAGTTCCATTTCAATCTCCCTCCCCTGGGAGTTGTTTTGGTCCGGACTCCACCTCCGGGAAAGCCTGTCAAGCAGTGACCCCTCCCTAGGGAGGGTCAAGAAAGCCTGCCAATCGGTGATCCCCTTCCCAGAGAGGGTCAGGACCATTCCCACAGGCTACTGGAGAATGTGCACGTGGTCTGCGGGTTTCATGTGGTCTCCCCTTTTCTCTCTCTCTTCCCCTTGCCATACTTTCCTGGTGCCACCCGGGAGGAATTATTTGCCTTGGCAGAGAGGCTAGTCTAAAAAAATATTCCTAACACTGAGTAGCATGCCTTTCCTGTAATTGAACATCTGAGGATGCTTTGGAGTTGAGTGTCAGCTTCTTCATTTCCATGGGACAATTGTACAATATCCTCCACACTGAGCTTCAAAGCTTCTCTTGCAGGGCCAGGTCTGGCAGCCTGACTGCCTCTCTCAGAAAGCGAATGCACTGTGTGGCTCCGATTATGAGACATTGCTGTGTCCCTGTCTCCTAAGGCGCCTCCAGCTGCTAGCAGCTTTTATCAGCCTCCTTTTCTAGTGCCTCATACTCTGCCAGGGTTCATTTGTCAGGAAGGAAATTTGGCTGAGCTCTTTGTGTTAAATAGACACATTTAAACCACGTATTAGCACAGGATCTAAATTCCTAGCTAACTCTTGATGCTTCTGCTTGATGTATCTTGAAGTTCATTTCTGTTTTCCATCCTGCATTTATGTCTCACAACTAATCTTAAATGATGAGATGTGTAGCCCTCAAGGCAGAGATAACGGTCTGACCTATAACTAAAGTCAGGCTCACTTCTTCTCTACTCCATGACATTTATTTTGCATTCTATACACATGAACATTCAAGCTGCAAAGACTCTTTAGAGCCCCAATCTCTTCTCTCCTCTAGAAGAAGTTGTCCGTTCTGAGTCATATTTTCAGGGCTTTTCTTTATCTTAACCTATGCTTCAGATGCTTAGCACAAATAGTTAAAAGAGAAAGCTTTGAATATATCTCTGCTACTTATTACACCTGTTCTATACATAGAGAAATACTTTGCTTCAGTGAAATTTTATTTTCCATCCTACAGCAAAATTATGACAATTGATGGCACATTATTTGTAAGACTACAGTGAAAAGATAAGCGGCCAGGAGAAACGTTATTTGCCTTATGTAGAATGAAAAGACTGGGGCCATAGCTGGAACCGACTCCGCATGGGATAGCTGAGGGTTGTTTTTAGGAAGCTGTTCTCTTATATATCCATTAAGCAATATTCATCTATTCCTTCCCTGCCATGTATCGGTCCAGGGTCATCATGGGGTATCCTATGGCCAGATCCACATCTGTTTTACCACTCATCGGAAACAGAAAGTCGAGATCTTTCTGAATGCATGATTGGGATGGCAGTAACACAGACAGCAATCACCCTGAGGATAGTAGAGAAGAGTTTCACATTGAAAACAGTCACTTTGGTATCTCTGCTCTACTTGTATTTTCTTGGTATAAGTCGTGGCACATATAGATGACTAGGTTAGACCAGCAAACCAGTGACCAGAAAACCTTCTGCCACAAATATAAACTATCTGAAAAGCTCTGACCATGTACTTTTGCAAAGTAAATTCAGAAATAACATTTTTGTCTTTGTGGTTTGAGTTTTGACCGTTCCTATTCCTCTCCTGTGCTCTATTCTCTTGTAGGAGATAAATACCTTTAGCAAAGAAGACATGGGTAGGTACACATGGTAGCTCTGGCTAGCCCTGTGCTCCATGAGCCTCTGGTTCTGGACTTCTCATGACTTTAGACTTGTGACATGACAAGAGCCCTGATGGATGTTGCCAGCCTCCATGACTACTATAGAATGATATCATGATGCAGAAGGAAAACCAAATGAACTGTGCTAAGCATTTAGTTGCTTTTGTTATTTGACTGAATATTGGCAGCCATAGAATTGCTTCAGATGCTGCCATGAGACAGACTGAGTGTTCTCCAGACCGAGGAGCGATCCCTGCTCAGCTTACTCATTTAATGATGTTCTTGAGATTTTATTTTCTTCTCTTTCTCCCATTTCCTTTCAAATGTACATTAAAAATAATCTTTCTATTTTAATCTTCATTTACTCCCTCCAGGTGATGGCATACAAAGTATTGCTCTTTTCCAGCTAGGACATCTTTATTGTGGGCAAATGTCCTTAGCAAGTGTGACCTGTGCCCACATGCTGGCCTTGCTATGGGGACCTAAAATGCCAGAGGCAGGGGTAAAGCAGGGGGCAGGAAACAGGAAGCAGAGTGAGCATGTCACACCTGCCTGTCCATATGGCTTCTTCCCAGTTGGCTTTAACCTCCATTGATTTGGCTGCTCTGTGACTGAACCAGGCCAGGCCTTGTGTGCTGGGTGCCTGTTCTCATGGTCTCCTCATTCTCATGAGGGTAATTTTTTTCATTTGCCACAGCAGCCAAAGAAAGAGAGTCTGGGTATAGGCTGGGGAAACAGTTCAGTTGGTAGAATGCTTGCTTAACAAGCATCATGTCTTGGGATTGCTCCCCAGAACATCATAAATGGCATGGTGGAGCATGTACTTGGGAATCAAAAGCAAGAGAATCCAAAGTCCAATATCATCTTCAGCTACATAGTAACATCAAGACTCAAGGTTAACCTGGGCTACATGAAATGATATCGCAAAACAAACAAAGTCAGAATGCTTAAGTGTGTTCTAGGTAGATGTCTAATAAGAGAATTATTTCAGAGCCCAGACTATGATTGATGGTGGTATTTACTAAGCGTTTACTAATCTTTAGTTGTTGCTACGAACTTTTACATCTGTTCACTTCTTCATCCCTAAGACTCTGGGCTTTTTATTCCATGTTATCTGTATCATCTATGTGGAAAAACAATCTGGTTCTATATTTTAGAAATAAAGCTACATGAACGTCATTGGTTTCCTTGTTCTTTAAGAGAACACTTGTTGAACCCTGAGCAATCAGAATTTCTAATATCCTATGTAATTCAACAGAAGTCTTTAAAGAAACAGAGTGGCTGGCCATGCTGTATGTCTCTACTGCCTTGCCTCCTGGGATTTCCCAAGACTCAGAATGTTTTCCCCTGTCTTCCTCACAGCAAACCTTGAAGAAAAAATGGGTGGAGCTCAGGTCTCTGCACTTACAGGAACAGCGCCTGCTGCATGGTAAGCTCAATTTCCTGTCAGGAAACCACATTCTCATCACACCCTCTCTGTATTTCTGCCTCCAAATATTTTAAGATGATCACTATTACAGTAATAGTCTACTTAGCACAGATGAAGGACACTAGTCTGTGCTTTGCTGGGATGAACACTGGCGTGACCCATGTGTTTGGAGGATGGTGAGTCAAGCTACAGTCTTCCACACATAGTGCATATGCACGTGAAAACATGTATGGACATAGGAATACACACACTTGCCATAGGTCACCAATAATTCCAGAAGAGCTGCAGATAGCATTACCTGGTGTTCTGGCTGAGGCTATTCAAAGCTGTCATAGCTACATCTTTTATAGATAGAATTATATGGGTTACATTTATACGGAGACTCTCAGGACCAAGTCAGACATATAAGACTATTATGCTGGTAACAGGCACTTGCTATCTATACATGTTGAAGCAAGGAGTTGAATCTAGTCAGCTGCTTTTCTCTTTGCTGTGTTACTTGAGGAAGCAAACTTCTTTTTTTGGTGGTCAGTTGGGACAGTGTCCTGCTTATAGCCCTGCATAGCCTGGTGATCATGATGCAGCCCCAGCAAGCATCCTCAAGCTTCAGCCTCACAAACACTGAAATCCCACGCATGAACCACCATAGCTGGCAGGAAGGAAGTCTCTGTACAAGTAATGTCCTGAAGTCATTAGCTGTAAGGCTGGAATGTAGGCCAACTCTTCTTTAGAAACACTCTGCCCTAACCTCTATTTAGCTCCTGGAATATTTGTTCAAATTGTAATACTTTGCAGAAAAATCTGCCATCTAAAAATTGCTTTAAACCAAGTCATATAACCAAACAAACAAATTGTATCTGGTGATGGATATCATGTGATGTGCTGTGATGTGGATATTACATGACATTTAAGTCTAGATAAACTAACTCCTCAGTCACCTTTTTTCCTTCCTTCCTAACTTCCTTCCTTCCTTCCTTCCTCCCTTCCTTCCTTCCTTCCTTCTAGCTCTTGGAAGCTTATAGTAGGCTCCTCTTAGCTGTAGTTACCCCACCATGTAAAGTACACTGAAGTTCTCACCCTTATGTAGTTTTGACTAGTGACCATGGATCAGGGTTTCCAGTGACCTCTCCCCTCTCTATCCCTCTGCCCGCCTTTGTTAACCACCACTGTGCTCTCAACAGCTATTATACCAGCAAACATTTTCAGATAGTGCATGGAACTGAGATCATTTCATATTTCTGTTTTTGTATTTGGACTCCTTCATTTAACATAACAATCTCCATGCCCATACTATCACTTTTTTTGATGAGTAAGTGGTATTCCACTCTGCACGGACTGTATTTTCTCCTTCCATTTGTCAGTCAACAGGTGTCTTGTAGAGCCCATCCCTTGGCTTCTGTGAATGGTAATAAAATGAACATGTCAGTGCAGGTTTTGTTGATACACTGATTATGCTTCCTATGGATATACATACATGTACCAGTAGCATTGCTGGATTTTATGATAGGGGTGTGTGTGTGTGTGTGTGTGTGTGTGTGATTGTACGTGTGTGTGTGGCCTACATACTATTTCACATGGTAGATTAACTGTGGGAGGGTTGTTTATTTTTCCCATCTTCACCATTAATTTTGATCTTGTGTCCTTTTGGTATAAACATTCTTATAGGGGTGAGGCGAGTCATTGTGGTTTTATTTGTGTTTACCAGTTAATTAATGACGCCAAACATTTTTTTTCATATATCTATTGGCCAATTTCATGTCTTATTTTGATGAATATCTATCTAAGTATATTCTACTTTGTCTCTTACAGTCTTTTATTTATTGATTGTTTGTTTTTTGGAGCTCCTTATAAACCCGTAGTCATCATTTTAGTCATTGATAACAGTACAGAGATTTGATTTGCAATTTTTAGTAGACAAATTTGAAACTTGTATGAGCTCCTTCTCTTTTATAAATTATTTACTTAAACTGCGTGTGTGTGTGTGTGTGAGTGTGTGTGCTCACACGCAGGTTTTGTGCCTCAGTGTGTATACGTGAAGGTCAGGGGACAACTTGCAAGAGTCAGTTCTCTCCTTCTACTACATGGGTCCCCTTGATTGACCTCAGGTTATTAGGTTGGCCATTACCCATTGAGTCATCTCACTGGCCTACTTTTCCTTTTTATGAATTTCAGTTCATTTTTGTTACTGTTTTGTTATGTTGAAAGCCTCTTGTCTTGTCTTTTTGATGCTAGCTAACATTCAAGCAATGTACCACTACGCCCAGTTCTGTCATACTACATTTTGAGGAATCAAAAGGTTGTGGGTTTCTTGTTTGTTTGTTTTTTTGAAAGAGAGAGTGACAAAGTCTTCCTTGAAGCCTTGTTGTTCAACTTCCTGGTTTTCATAGTCATGGAATATTGCAGAAGCCTTTGCCTTCTGATGGTTTCCAAGCAGCCCTGTGTATACATTTCCCACATATACAGGAACTCATAAATAGATCTAATATTAGAAACAATATTGTTGTTTATTTTTTGAGGGTGTTCATTCATCTGCTCTCTCTAGAACTAGAGGAAGCACCCAGAACACGAGGGTTTATAAAGCAGTTGCTCTTCCATCCAGATATATCAGCTCATTGGAAGATGAGACTAAGCATGTTGTAGTAGCAGGAAGGAAAATAACGTGCAGGTGGGCTGCACTTGACCTCATAGATTAAATGAAATAAGAACAGTATCTCTTTGGGCTGCCAAGCAAAGGCACAGGAGAACTGAGTAAAAATGACTAACACGGGACAGCCTGAGAAGTACCTGACATCTCTCGTTCTCAGTGATGCTTTTCCGAGCACACTAGCTGACCGAGTGATGAGAAGTTGGTGGGGCAGGACAGCCTGTGGCATACTTGACATCTCACGCTCTCAGTTATGCTTCTTTGAGCACACTAGCTGACCGAGTTATGAGAATCTGGTGGGGCAGGACAGGGTGTGACTCATCATTCAGTTTGGGGAACCCGTTTGTGGGTTATGAAGCATTGATGGAAACACCGGGCTTAGCAGATAGAACACGGTTTTTGGAGGCACATGCTTGAAGGAGGACAGAGATGCTTTCTAAGCTCAGCACCATTCTAGGACTCCCAGTCATTCAAGGAGGAAATTTGGAATATTAAGAGTGAACAGTGTCATTGACTTCATAAGCCTTTTATCTGCTTTGCAACTGTTCTGCCATATGCCTTTGTAGTAGGAAGGGCCGCTTGTTGGTTCCCAGCTGCTCATCCCCAAAATAATCACACAGAAACTGTATTATTTAAATCACTGCTTGGCCCATTATCTCTAGCTTGTTATTGGGTAACATTTATATTTTAATTTAACTCATTTTTAGTAATCTGTTCATCACCATGTAGCTGGGGTTTACTGGCTAAAGTTTTGGCGTCTGTCTCCAACAAAGTTACATGGCTTCTCTCTGCCTCCTTCCTCCCAGCATTCCATTTAGTTTTCCCTGCCTAATTCTGTTCCCCTATAGCTCTGCTATAGGCCCAAAGCAGTTCCTTTACTAACCAACGATATTTACAGCATACAGAGGGGAATCCCACATCATACCTTAAATGGCTTGATAAGAAACTTATGATTCTTTTTAAAGACAGCTGATGAGAGTCAGAGAAGCATTTCTCTGAGCATTTATTTTGACCTTACTTCTAGGAGTATTTTCATAAAAGTTTCCAGGGTTACACAGTTTAAGAAATTAACACTTGGAGGTTCACAGGGTCATGTTGTCATCATGTCAGTTGGGTGGAACTGATTTCATATCAAGTATGCTTGCTCGCTGCCACTAAGATAAATCAGTTTACAGAAATAGAAGCTTTACTTGGCTTAGAGTTTGGAGGTATCAGTCCATAAGGCTTGGGCACATCATGTGCCATCATAAAAGAAGCACTTAGTAGAATAAAAAAAGCTTTGTTGGCAATTGGAGCATGAGAAAAAAAAATCGGACCAGGACACAGAAGCTGTAATCAAGACCACGTCTCCAGTGACCTAAACCCTCTCAGGAGGCTGCATCTTTTAATGTTTTCATCATCTCCCAATATCATCACTACATGAATCTCTTGGAGTATATTCCACATCCAAGCTATGGACATGAAATATCTTGCTTTAATTTATTCTAGGTTCTAATGTCCATGACCCTTTCCTCAGTGACGCTAGTTTGGAAAACTAACCATATTTGTGCAGTTGAAAACTCAGACCAAAGTGTTTGTCCTTCTTCTCTTGCTTCTTCAAAGTTGGGTGTGCTTTCTTGGGGGAACTGGTGGTCTTATCCATCCCACAATAGACTCTTCTCTGTATCGTAGGAGATGTGGCTGACTCCCAAAACTTGGGAAACATGGACCTGGATGAGTTGTCCTTGTTTGGAAACCTGCTGGGGCCAGGCCCAGCTCCCCTGGACCAAAACCGACTGCCCAGTGAGAGCAGCAGCTGTAAGAGCCGTTTGAGCTCCCTGACCATGGACAGTGAGGATGGCTACCGGACAAGTGTGTCTGAGGACTCCAGCCGGGGCGCCTTCAGCCGGCAAACCAGCACGGATGACGAGTGCTTTCTCTCTAAGGACGGAGATGACATTCTGAGGAATGCTTCTTCCAGGAGAAACCGAAGCATCAGTATCACCAGCAGTGGCTCCTTATCCCCGTTGTGGGAAGGCAATTACTCAAGCATGTTTGGGACTCTGCCCCGGAAGAGCAGACGGGGAAGTGTCCGGAAGCAAATTTTGAAATTCATTCCTGGCCTTCATCGTGCAGTGGAAGAGGAAGAGAGTCGCTTCTGATGGGTGTGGCAGAGACCCTTTGAATCGGCTGGGCTCACAGTTCTCTCTCTACTTGCCTAGATGAGCTCCACCTGGCTTGGTGGGGCAATACAGCCTGACTGCCAAGTTCACATCCCAATTCACAGCAGCATCGACCTTCATGTTCTTACATTGTTATTTTTGGGTCTTATATCATTTTTATTTCATCCAGTACATCTCAAGTTCTAAGCAGACATCAGGGGGGAAAAAGCAATAGATTAGATAACATAATAAATAATATGCCTGTTCATTCTAATGCTGGACACAAAAGTACAAAAGTATTTATTTTACTATGCTTGTAAAAAAAAAAAAAACCAGAGAACTCTTTGGAGTCAAGAGTGAACACGGAGAGACAGGGAATAATTATTGGGTTGCCTTCCATAGGTTAATTTGGTAGACTACAAAACTTTTTGTTTGCTTAATTTCCTCAGTAGCCTCTGGGGGCAGCCTTTGCAAGAGAGAATTGAAGTTTTTCAAACTATTAAATGATCATAAATAAACAAAAATAACTATCAGCGTCGCCTTACTTTGACAGTAACAGCGAGGAAGGAGGTTAGCGTTGGAGGTGAAGAGCTGAGCTCCCTAAGAAGCATGGAATGGGGTACTGAGGTGGGGCGCTTGGGACTGTCACCCTGCTTTTTTTGTAATGATCTCTAAATAAGATGAATGAAAATTTTTTTGGACATTTCAATTTTTTTCTACCTAAACATGGATGCCAAATCTAGAAATCTCAGGATCCTGTAGCTCTGTGATTATATTTTGCTATAAATGTCTAAACTTCTAAAAAGGAGAATGGGAAAAGAACTTGTCTTTCTTGCTTCTCCTCAGTAGACATTCTGCGTAGGTGCTGCCTCAGTCCTTGCTTCCCTGTATTATATCCTCACCTTTCCATCATTTTATATTTTATTTCAACATCCATTAAAGGCTTTGTTCTTTTGGTACAGTTGTTTATTACCTATATGTTAAAGTAAACAGTACGAACCATGTGCTAAACACACGTTTATTATAAGCCCTGTGTGTGTGTGTGTGTGTGTGTGTGTGTGTGTTTAATAGAACTGCTACATTTAAGTGATATTTCAAGTTGATCCACAGAAAGTACTTTTGGGAAAAAGGTGAGATAGGGAAGTTTATAGCGTAATAAGTAATAAATTAATAAAAGATATCTAGGTGGGATATTTTGTCTGTAAATTCTCTGAACTAAGGCACACCTGCTAGAGGCTCTCTGTGGCATATTTTCGGTCACACCAGCAGTTCTGCCTCCCAAAATGTAGTGTCAGGTAGTCTAAAAACACCTTGTATGTGATCCTGGAACAATGGAGACAAGATACAAAAAGTAAATCAGGGGTGTAGCAGCTCTGGTCTATTGCCTTGTCAGCATCCTGGCTGAAACTGTTAACCATTTCTCCTTGGATCTAGCCAGTGCTCTTGGCATCTTTGGATTTCCTACACCTTTGCTGGTTCCGCTGTAGTTATGTTAAAACACCTGGGCCTTTCTTACCCTGGATGTGTATGATACAAGGAGTTAAGAGAACCAGAAACTCAACTCTCACCAAAAATCAACAGTGGCTCTTGAGCTGGCTCACATGAAGCTTAAAGACTCGAACAAACGTAAGAGTAAGCAAAGAGAATGAAGCTTTATTGAGGTAAGCTGGGGAAAATGGGAAATTAAAGGAGAAACTCTTGAAAGTGAGAGGGGGTAGAAAAGCCTTTTTTCTAAGAGGGGAAAAGCCATGGAAATGCCTTGTGTCGAAGTTTTTATTTTTTTTTTTTATTTGCAGAATTTACAGCAGAAACTTGACAAGCACTGAGATAATTTCTGTTGAGATTGGTCAGCTTTCTAGGTCATCATGGGCCAAGCTAATGGAGGGCTAGCACTGTACATGTCCTTCTGCCTAAGCCTAAAATGATCAAGCCCTGCTTGTTTGCTGCCCCCTCCATCAGGGTAATAAATAGAAGCCCAGCTTTGTTCTTCTCTGACTTTGTTAGCTACTGGACTTGATCTCTGTCTGCTAGTCGATAGTTCTCTAGTAGTTGATATTGTAGGTGTGTGGTCTCTTTGTTCTCACACTTCTATGACCCGGCTCACATTTTTTGTCATGGCTGAGGCCTAACTCAATCACAGCTACCAGGGTGTGGTTGTAGTTGTCCTTTTTTTGATTCCATTTTAGCTCTTTGGTTATGGGGTTGTCTCCTTTCTGAACTAGATGGAAGCTTCTTGTTAGACTATATCCTTACCCACAATTTAGTCTGTCACGGGTGAATTAGAAGCAAAACTATACAAAAGGGCAACTGTGCCTTGTGTGGGCTCCTCTAATGATGCAACCTGCATGGGATTGACCTGATTTGGGAACAGAAAATGAAGAAATGACTGACACGTTTAGAGAAAAGCTGGGTGGAGTAGGCCATAAGTTAGGATGGAGATGCACCAGTATCCAGGAAGTTTAGCATATTTCTTACACAGCTGAATATGGAGGTGAGTTTATGATATATAGCCAAAGAAGGTCACAGGTTAGCTAACCTTGGTAAGATGTCTCTACAGGGGAGCAGTCTAGGGCTTGAGCTGTGACTGGAATGTTCACGCACAGTCAACATCTGTATTCAGACCAGGGGCAGGCCTTGACATTCCTGTGGATCTGAGACACTGGAGTCTTTTGACATGACTGCACTAATAACAACAATATAAAGTCATTCTAGACTTATCCACCCGCCAGGACACTGGCCATCGGGACTGCCAGTAGTGACATTGCTACCTTGAGCCTGTCCTTTTTTTCTTATCTAGTCGTCATGGTTTACCCATACGTAGCTGCAAGCTCTCTTCTTCATCTTCCTCGGCACTTTTGACTTAATTGTTTTAACTCCAACCTTCATTTTAACCCCAGTATCTGTCTGACCTTCACCTTTGTGATCACCAAGGAATCTTCTCCATGAGTTCCCTTTCTCGTACTACCCACAGTGAGATGGCTCCTGCCTCAGTTCTATTCAGTTCTCATGATAATACTTTTAATTCATCTGCCAGAAAATATTAAAATATAAATTATAGACTCAGCACTGAAAAATCATGTTTGTCTCTGGCAAGTAAGAAACCAAACATTCAGGGTGATCCTTTCCTTAGCTTTCATTAGCAAGTTCTCAACTATAGGTACCTACCAACTACAGTACCTACATTCTTAGCACTATTACATTAATGTTTCCTTAAAAGCTTGTAAACCAGCTACCATCCAAATAGTACAGCATTTTTCTCATCTTCTAGGATTATCATTAAGCCCATATCATAAAGATCAGTTTTCATGAACACAGCATCTTAATTTTACTTCATGAAATATGGGGACGAGACATGCATTTATATGGGGCAAGATGACTTAACGTAATCCCTGTGTGAGAGCTCATGTCAGAGCTAGTTCAGATCATCTTGGAGAGTAGATCATAGGTCATCTGTGTCTCTTGTGATTTCAATGCAGAAGTGCAACCCTCTGTTAATAAATGTCAAATGCAAAGTGGGGACAGGGACGGGGCAGGGCAAGTATCAAGTTCATCCGTACTGAGATGAATTAGCATCAAGAGGTAGATCTGTGCTCTTGGGCTTTGTGGGGAGGAAGCAAAGCTGGCTAACCAAGGCACAGGAAGGGAGGCTGCTGGTATTCAAAAGTGGTTTCGTTGAAATGGGGGGGGGTGAGTTTCACGCCATGTTTTAGTCTACATCTGGTCTGAGTAGGACATTAGGAGAAACTTCTGTGGCACTGTGACTCACTTGTGTGTAATTTATGTGGAAAATAATTTAAAATCTGTTTTCTCTTTTTTTAACTCCAAAGTTGTCAAGTATGTAATTTGGTGCATCACATTGACAATTTGTCACGAAAATACTGTTTTCTAGAATGGTGTCTGATAAACCAATTCTGAGTCAAGCAAATTCTGAACAGCATAATCATGTAGCTAAAAGAATATTGTATCAAGCAAGTAGGAAGTGATTTTTAAAAGATTTTGTTATTTTATGTGCATGAGTGTTGTACCTTCACTCATGTAAGTGTCTGGGGGGGGGGGGATCAGAACGTATCAGATTCCCTTGGAACTAGAATTGTGAGTGGTTGTTAGCATCCATGTAGTCGCGGGGAACTGAAGCTGGACCTCTGCAAGACCAGCTAGTCCTCTTAGCTACTGAGCAATCTCTCCAGCCCCAGGAAATGCAATTTTTTGAAATAATAAACTTGAACTCATAACACTCCACTTTCAACACTTTTAGATCTTAGGTGCAAGACATAAATGATAACAGAAATATCAGTTTGACCTAAAGAAACACAACTTGGACATAGTTTCTATGCACTCATTATGAAGCATATTTATGCATGTAAACAAAGAAGAGTAACTAATATATAACTAGGCCGAACCCTTCAGGTCACAAACACTGTTGCTTGTTGTCTACTTCCATACAGAATTATGGACTACAAACTGAAAGTATTTATTTTTAGAAATAAAGAATGCTACTCTTGGATATGAGCATTTTTTTTCTCCCTCCCCTTCCTTTACTATTATAAGTGAAAAGTGTGTTTTAAAGGAAGATTTCAAAATCTCTGAGTGACCACTTGAGATTTTAAGATGCCATTTGTAGTCCTCTGGATGAAATTGACCCCATAGGCTATTATATTTCAATGCTTGGTCCCCAGTTGGTGGAACTGTTCAAGAAGGATTAGGGAATGCGGCCTTGTTGAGGAGGTATGTCATGAGGAGTGAGATTTGAGGTTTCCAAAGATTCCATCTTATCCTGGTGTCTCTCTGTCTCATGGTTTTATGTCAAGATGTGAGTTATTAGCTACTGGTCCATAGCCAGGCCAACCTGTCTGCTGCCAAACTCCTTGCCATGCTGGTCATAGTCTCTAACGCTTTGAAACCATAAGCTCCCAAATAAATGCTTTCTTTTATAAGTTACCTTGTCTGTGATGTTTTATCACAGAAATAGAAAAGTAACCAAGACAACAATACAAGGCACCACAGTGCTAGGTGTATAGATTGGGGGAAAGCTGTTTCCTAGTGTGTATAAGGCTCTGTGCTCTATACCATTACTACAAATAACCAAATCAAACCAAATATTACCTACTTTTTTTGTGAGAGTTTACAGTCATTACTTTTCCATCATGACTCAAAAAATTATTATACTTTTAGAGACCCATGTTTGGATCTGCTTAGCATCTCAGAGACCTACTTTAGTAAAGAGAATGGGCAGGTTTGAGTTCTCACCTAGAGTCTAGACTGAGAATTCACTTGCAAGCTCCTGCTTATTGTCAGAGTGTTGTCCTTCTGGGCATATGATTCCAGTCATCTTATTTCTTTAAAGCCATCAATGGAAAGGAAGGGAGAGGCCACGAGCAAGGCAGAATCTTAAGTAATTCAGTTTAGTCATGGGTGATTGACCATAATCTGTGTTGTGTAATATAACCACTGAAATGTCTTCCAATGTTCTTTGCCATTTGATGTAACATTGGAGTGACATTCTGACATTTGTGCTGGATGTCAGAATATAATCACGGAGTCCCATCCTACCAATGTGTGTGTGTGCATACTGCTAGAAGGAAGACATTGGCTTCATTTTGTAGAACAAGAATACTTTTATTGACATATTTTAAAGATTATTTTTACTTATGTATATATGAGTATATGTCACTTGTGTAGGCATACACAGAAACCAGAATAAGGTGTCATATACCCTGGAACTGAAGTTATAAACATTTTGAACAACCTGATGTGGGTACTAGGAATTGAACTCCTAGAAAAGCAAGAAGTGCTCCTAACCATTGAGCCAACTCTTCAGGCACTAGAAGCAGGAATTTGAAAGAGGCATAGATAGCATGATGTGGAGAGAGGTAACCCGAAGAGCATCTCTTTGCAGCACTATTCAAAGAATTCACAACCTGAATGATACAAAGGTGTCAGGATTTCCTTAAAT